ACCAGCCACTCCTCGGAAGGAAGGTTGGGCAATCCTACTTCCGTAGTGATACTGCCTCGGAAACCCAAGGAGGGGTCGCTATGAGTCGGGTTTGACTTGATGGCACATAACAACAACAACACCATGTTGCATACCATCCTCAAAGTAATGGTTTGATAGAAAACTGGAATGGGCAATTGAAACATTTGTTGTCTAAAACTGGGGAGATAAAGGCCTAAAGGGCTGGCTCACACCTTCATGAATGTGTGCTCACATTCATGAGGGGGGAGAAGGGAGGATCACCACTCAACAGATTCCTACGCTTTTCTGGGGGATCTAGGGAAGAAGGGGTGGGGGAGGATGCTGGTGCCACTGTACAGTTTTTTCCCCCATCACCTACCATTGCTTTCTTCCTGCCAGAAGCTGTGGTCCCTGGACCTGGGTTTCAGCTGTGGGTGCCACAGGCTGGGCTGATCCCTAAGTGAGAAACTGTTTCTATACCTCTGAACCTGTATGCCAGAATTCCTGAGGGCCTTATGGGATGGATTGTACCTTCTCTCCACCTGCCAAAGTAGGGCTGACAGTGAATACTACCGTCCTGCCCAGTGGTCGAGATAGCCCACTAGTTTTGTACCTGTGTAACCACAACTGAGCATGAATGAGAGTGGACTGAGGGGGAAGCACTTGCTAGACTGATCTTGCTACCAGCAATCTGGATAGGCACTACAGCTGAACATGATGTCCCCTCCCAAGGTGGGAAAGTCTGGGTAAAAATAAATGACGAATGGAAAGAAGGAGAAATAATTAAGCTGAAGGTAAAGGAATGAATAAATGGGTTATGCAGCAGGGGAAATCCAACATTATGCTGATGCCTAAAGATAGACTCAGAACAAGGGAATAATATTATCTCAGTTAAATATTATCAGATATTATAAGGATGATAATGAGAAAAACTTTTGGATTAGATGGACAAATACAACAGACCTGAAGGGCTGGTATCTGAATAATCTCACCCTTAGGACTCTTTGCCTTACTGAAAGACTAATTGTTAATGACCTTGGGACTGGTAATATGATTGGGATGGGCAAATTAATCTTTCAACTATGAAAGGGCTAATGGCTAGGAGCTCTGGTAGCATAGTGCCTAAGGCACTTG